CCTCCCTGTTCGCTTCAGTGCATGGCTGCCGGCCGCCATCTTGGCTGGCAGTTAATTTTCATATCGCCCTGATTAGCCAATGGGAAGGGTAGCGGCCGTACAGCTAATTACCATGTTTCTCTTTTATTAGATTAGATGTGGGGGTTTTTTCTTTTTTGGTTGTTTGGGTTGTTTTTTTTTTGTGAAATGGCTTAATCTGTCAGCCTATCTCATCTATAAACTGGAAATTGCATAAGATAGTTTTATATGTAATTATAGATTACCCTAAGAGAGAATAAATGGCTAATGCAATTCAGTATTATTCCTGTACTATATCATTGCTATTTTCTTTTCATGTATTTGGGCTGAGTAGGCTTAGTTTACAGTCTCTTTATTTTCTAATTATTCAATTCCGCCACTCCCACATTATATATGATACTCTTAAGTGTGAGCATCTATACATACTATTAACTGATGGTTTACATTATCTAAATGATTGCACAAAAGAATAGTTCTAAACCAATGTCCCTTTTTATTATACTTAAAAGATTTTGTTGTTAACAGTTCTCATTGGTCAATGTCTTAAGAAATTCATAAAAGACTAGAATTTTCTTAGCTTTCAGAACTATTTTCAGTTTCACTTTTTATGAATTTAAAATTCTTGATACAGGTCTAAGAGCATTCTTCAGTATGGAATGAATACAGATTTGTGAAGTATAGGAATATGAAATATTACTCAGAAAATAACTTTTTATTTTGGTCTATTTAGGAAAGCGACATGCCAATTCATGAACTTCTCAGCCTTTATGGGTATGATGGTACTAGTCGACTACCTGAAGAAGATGAGGAGGAGGAAGAAGAGGAAGAAGAAGGTGAAGATGATGAAGATGCTGATAATGATGATAACAGTGGCTGTAGTGGAGAAAATAAAGTAAGCTTATACCGAAATTTTTAAGATTATAGTCTTTATTGTTGGAGTTATAATTTTTAAATACGTTCATTTTGACTGCTTATTTTTACCTGTATTCTTTCTGATTTTAAAAGTAATACATTTAGATATTGAAAATTAAGATACAGAAATATGTAATAAAAATTGCAAGTTCTCTGTAATCCACTCCTGAGGGGTAAGTTTCATCTTTGTTATTCAGATTTCTTTTCAGTGCCTATTCTAAATAAATTTGTACCAACTTTTAAAAAGCACTATGTTTTTAAGTAATAAAGGCTAGTTGGCAGTTCTGTATTCATTTTTCTTAATTTGTTTTGAAATAATTTTAGATTTACAGAAGAGGTTCTAATGTACAGAGACTTCCTACTCTTCACCCAGAAATTTCCCCTATGTTAATATCTTACATAACCATGGAAGATTTATCAAAAATAAGAAGTCAATACTGGTACCACACTATTTAATTAAATTACAGGCAATTCAGATTTCATCAGTTTTTCCATTAATGTCCTTTTCCCTGGTCCAGGATTTGACCCAGCACACCATGATACAGTTAGTGTATTTATGTACTCTTCACCCAGAAATTTCCCTTATGTTAATATCTTACATAACCATGGAAGATTTATCAAAAATAAGAAGTCAATACTGGTACCACACTATTTAATTAAATTACAGGCAATTCAGATTTCATCAGTTTTTCCATTAATGTCCTTTTCCCTGGTCCAGGATTTGACCCAGCACACCATGATACAGTTAGTGTATTTATTTTAATCTGCTAGTTGTATTTGAAATACTATGACCTTTTATCTCCAAAAGGTTTTTTGTTGTTGTTATTGTTTTACATCTTAAAACAATTTAATTTATGATTCCACAGGAAGAGAATATAAAGGATTCATCAGGTCAAGAGGATGAAACTCAGTCTTCCAATGATGATCCATCACAATCTGTTGCTTCTCAAGATGCACAGGAAATAATCCGCCCACGTCGATGTAAATATTTTGATACAAGTAAGTGTTACTGGTTGCTATAGTTGAGGTGTAATTTTTACTCTCTAATATATGGCCTAAAATTCTAGTGTGTGTTTTTTTCACTGCTCTGAATTTATTTACTCTTAAATATCACTTAACAGTAATGGAGTTTTGTTCTAGGTTATTAGTTTTGCAATGCTGGGCCCTGTTCATGAATATACTACAGTAATTGTTGTGTCACTTACTACTTGGTTTTAAGTGTGTTCCTTTTTTTCCCTTCCTGACCCTTTCTTAAATTTAGTTTGTTTCATGGTCATCTTTTAATTTCTCCTAGTCTTTTTCTCAGTTTTCATTTTCTACTTTCGTTGCCTATTAGCTTTTTAAAAATAGATTCCTAAGCATTGCTTTCCTTAATCAATGCCTCCTAGTTTTGAAGAAGTGGTTGACATTTGAGATAGGAATATGTTATACTTAGAAAGAAGTCTCCTAATTTTCCTACAATTATGATCTAGTCAGAGATGACCAGTAATATCTATCTTGAATATTTGCATACTTCATCCCCTACTGCACAGTGTTTCATTCTAAACAGTAATCTTTACTCTAGAGGTCAGCTCTCTGATAAAAAGTCAACTATTAGTGTTATTAGTTTAAATTTTTTATCTAAATTTCTATACTTTAAAAAGAAGAAAAACACTTGAACAATCCCTCATGAAATTTAGTAATGTAATAACTGATTAAACATGGCAACTGCTTTGTATGAATGATTTCTGTTACACATTTAGTTTAGAAGTGAATGTAGTACTGCTGATAATAATTTTATTGAGTTTTGATCTAAGATATGGTCCAATTGAAAAGTGTACCAATGCAAGAAGATATTAGTTACTGAAATAATTGTGTTAATTGTTTTGTTGTTAATCCTCAACTGAGGATATTTTTTTACATTGATTTTAGAAAGAGTGGAAGGGAGGGAGAGAGAAAAGAGAGAAACATCTATGTGAGAGAGACACACATTGATCAGTTGCCTCCCACATGTGCCCTGACTGGGGTCCAAGGATCGAACTTGCAACCCAGGTACGTGCCCTTGACCAGGAATCGGACCTGAGACCCTTTTCAGTGCCAGGGACCAAAGCTCTAACCACTGAGAACACCAGCCAGGGCAATAATTATGTTAATTTTAAGTTTGGGGAAATGTAGTATTAACCTCTTAGTAATCAGTGGTTCTCAACCTTCTGGCCCTTTAAATACAATTCCTCATGTTGTGACCCAACCATAAAATTATTTTCGTTGCTACTTCATAACTGTAATGCTGCTACTGTTATGAATCGTAATGTAAATATCTGATATGCAGGATGGTCTTAGGCGACCCCTGTGAAAGGGTCGTTCGACCGACAGAGGGGTCGCGACCCACAGGTTGAGAACCACTGTCTTAGTTAAACAGAGAGCAGATCTACTGACAGTGGGGTGCTAAGTGACTGCCTAAACTGTTTAATCTGGTATTTCAGTTGTGATGTTTGCATGGAAACTATATATATATTGCCTGTCTTCATAGGAAGAATTAATTTTTATATGCAATGTTATCCTATTGAACTTTGTGTGCCATTTTAGAGTTAAGAAGATGCTGAGAATCTGTTTTCAGATTTCCCACCCCTTTTTATAAATACATTCTTATTCCAAAATGTAAATACACAGCAGCTTGCCTGCTCTGAATAAAACAGTTGGGTAGAATGGAGGACATCATACATACTCCCTTTATGTGCTTCCACCCAAAGTGATGCCATAAAGTTCTCAGTGTTTCAGGGAGCACTGTTTGGAAATCACTATTCTGTCCAATTCTCATTTTGTAAGGAAGAGCTTGAGATCATATAATTTACTCTGTCACCAGGCTGTTGATAGAATTAAGTTTAGAAATAGGTTATTTTGATTCTAAATTTTGTTTCTGAAGTTTCTGTAGAAAATCATTTCATGAGAATACAGTTGTCTAATTTAGGATTGACCTGAAAGGTGTATGGACTTTTTTTGTTTTGTTTTGTTTTGTTTTGTTTTGTTTTGTTTTTTTTAACTGATGGGGTATTATTTGATTTGAAATATCTTGGTCTAACTCTGGAAATAACTTTGGGCATATTTAAATATTTTGATGGTAGATGTAAGAATAAAATACAAATATACTCTGTGGACAGGATAAGCAATCATTTTATAGTAGTATTGTCTTACTTATTCTAGACAGCGAAATAGAAGAAGAATCTGAAGAAGATGAAGATTATATTCCATCAGAAGACTGGAAAAAGGTAGTTAGAGCCATATTTTCCAAAAACTTAGATAAATTAATATTTAAAAAGCCCAATGTAATTACTTTTTTATTAAGTAAATATATGTTGATAAAGTTGAGGTAAGCCCTATTCTGACATTTAAATATTGGGTAGATGTTCAGATTTCCCCTAATATATTCAGATGTTTATCTTATTATAAAATAAAATAATGATATAGAAAGAATTGGCCTTTGAACTGGCACTCAAACCATGATTAGAAATCCAAACTTCTGAACTAGTGCTGAATTAGACTTTTGTTGCACTATAGAAAGTATCACATTTATAAATATATATAAATCATGAGGCTTTTTAGTATTCAGTAAATTCTGTTTAAAAATTTGATTATAAATTTCTCTATCCTATATTAATGTTGATATTTACAACTCCAAATATAATGTGTAAAAAGATGGATTTGGGCTTCTCTAAAACTGCATAATTAAGTAAGTTGATTTCTAAATGAGTCTAAAGAGAATATATTGACATAGTTTTAAATTATAGAATTGTATAACATTGTTTAATCATACAATTAAATTGAATTAATTTTAAACTATTGCAAAGCTGTTGACTTATGAAAGTATCAAAATGTCATGTGAAATTGTTTAGAGCAAATCATCATTTATATATAAAAAAATGATCACCTGATCTTTCTCTTAAAACTCCATTGAGGTTTTTTTGTTGTTTTTTTTCCTACATTTGATTTTAAATTTAGTGCGTAAATTTCTTTGAATGCACAATAGACCAGAACATCAAATTGATTGGGATTTCTGCACTTGAGTCATGATTGATTATTTAGTTAATACTTTTGAGCTTTCCCTATGTTTTTGTGGGTTTTTGTTTTTGTTTTGTTTGTTTGTTTTTTAGTTTAAAGTTGTCTGGTCTGGGATGCCTGGGGAAATTTAAAAATGAGCTGACCCCCTTGCTGATTAAAAATAAGGAAACATATTTAGAGTTTCTCTTAGGAAGAATTAAGTATTCAAATGAACTTGAACTGGGCTACGCAGGATTTGGGGCTTCAGCCAAAATTGATCTGTTACTGGTTTCCAAAAAGATGTTTAGAAGGGAGAGACATCTGTTTGGGTTAGTGTTAAGAGAAGGTTAGCCCAGTACAGTATGTGTTAATTAATTTGAGTGAATGATGAATGACTGATGGGTCTGAAGACTTAACAAGGTTCACAGAAGTTACTATTTGTGTGTCCTATTTGGGGAAATGGTTTTTAATCCAGTTTTTTTCTGATTTTTAATACCATGTAGAAATTAAAATGATAAACTGTAGAAATCTTGAGTCATCTTAAACTATCGTTTTTCACCACACATTCAAGTTTATATAAGTTTTCTCCAAAATAAATTAACTGTTTTTGTATCTGTGTTCAATATAGTATTTAATTGGATGTTATTATTTTTAATGAAGGGACAAAAAGCTCAGAGGAGCAAGAATGGGGGAAAGTGAACTCTTCTTTGCTGGAGGGTATTAGTCACTTACTCAGGAATAGTGTGTAATAATCAGACTATGGTAGATCCAGACTGTTTTTAGTATGATTTTGTTGGAATAAAAAATGTCTAGATTCAGGATCTTCTCAGGTTTGTAAGATAAAAGGGAGTTTTTATAGAAATGGGTAGAGGAAACAGCTTTGAAATCAAATCTCTTCAAGTTATAGCCCCAGAACTTAATACTAGTGTGTACTTGAGGAAATAAAATTTTTTGAGTTTCATCTCTTCCCATAAAATATGGAAATAACAATTTCTAACATCAGTGAGGTGACAGTAACTGGAGAGCAGAAGTTTTCAAATCCTAGAAGTTCTTTAAACTTGCTAGGCCAAGATTTTGTCCTTTTCCTCCCTAAGTCTTCATTTTAAAAATGCAGTAAATTTATTCTTAACATTTAGCCACCAGACAAAAGAGTGTGTAATTTTGGACCCTGTGTGTAGTAAAATCTTGTCTGTGATGACCTCCAATGTCTTTCTGAACAGTTTCCCCTAATTTGTGATTTGATGCTATAAAGTCGATTACCAGATTTCCTAAAATAAGTTTTAATTGTGTTTTGGGAGGTTACTTTTTCATTTTGTATTGTTTTAATGAAAGTCAGGCACTTTCATTATCCATTTGGTTTGGAGTTTCATCCGTTTGGCCTCTACTGAGCTTTATACAAACCCTTTTTGTTACTTTCTTTATCTTAAAGCTCTGATTCTCAGACTTAAGGTGTGTCAGAATCACCTGGATACCTTGTTAAAACACTAATTGCTGAGTCTCATTTTCAGAGTTTCTGGTTCAGTAAGTAGGTCTGGAATAGGACCTGAGCATTTGTATATCAGTTTCCCAGGGACCATAGTTTACAGTGTAGATATTCTGAAAATATCTGAATTTGACTTCCAGTTTTTTAGTGTTTGCAATTATCTTACTAATTGAATAGTAAGAATTTTTTTCTCCATATTTTGAAGTAGTTTGTATACATTGTCTGTATTGCATTTCACCCCATTATTATTACTAATATTTTCATCCAATCATATCCAAGCTCCTATCTATTATTAACTCATTCATCCTCACAATACTTCTCTGAGGTAGTTAATTGTTGCATCTGTATTATATGACACAGAAACCAGGAACAGTTTGCCCAAGAAGATGGTAATGCTAGAAAATGGATATAAAGTCTGTTACTAAGATCTTATTAATGTACTTTTTAAAAACTTTTTATTGATTGATTTGAGAGAGATCGATTTGTTATTCCACTTATTGGTGCATTCATTGGTTGATTCCTGTTTGCGCCCTGACCAGGATCGAACCCGCAACCCTGGCGCATTGGGATGATGCTCCAACCAACTGACGTACCCAGCCAGGGCCCTTACTAATATTTTATGTTATTTTTAAAATAGGAGATTATGGTGGGCTCCATGTTTCAAGCAGAGATTCCAGTTGGCGTTTGTAGATACAAAGAAAATGAAAAAGGTGGGTTATTAGTAAAGTTAATAGCTGGATTCATGCTTTTGAAGTTGATGAACTGTTGTTTTATAATGGGATAAGAACATGACAGTTTATGTTACCCCATTTAAATATGAAAGAGGTCCTGCATTATTTCTATAAGAAGAAATACATTTTTTGTTTTTCTAGTTTTGTTCACACACATCTAGTGGAAAAGGTGAATTCTTATTTTGTTGTTAAGTGACTTAAAACATCCCAACTTTTATTTCTTTTTTTCTTGTTCTTATATTAAATACTCTGAATATACCCTTTCATAGCCTTTATAATTTAGATTTTAAAAGTTATGTCAGTGGAAGCTGTTGGACAGGTCTAAATAAAACTTTGAATAAATAACTATAAAAAGTTTACTTGCTTCTGAAACTTTAAATGATTACTTATTAAAATTTATTACTTTGATATTTGTGTACTTAAAATAATTTGGGAAAACAACTTGTACATTTAAATTTTACATGATTTTTTTCATCATTTTATCTTAAAGTCCTAAGGTAAGTCATAAATACTTAAGTTTCTAATAACATAAAATACTTGAGGTTTTTTTTTTAAAGTCTGCTTTAGATTACTCACTTTAGGTGAGTTCTATTAAGAATGTTGTGGGTGTATGTGTGTTTTCAATGAGTTCATGTGCAGTGTGACATCACTTGATGCTAGAAATCTTTCTTCATTTCTTTTATTTCAGTTTTCTCCACATTTCAGCTTACATATGCAGATCATTTTGGAGTTGTAGAAGTCTTTTGTTGTTTATTTTCTTTTTAGCATCCCCTCCAGAAATGTACTTTATATTCTGAGGGTGCGCGGGCTTTCAGGACAAACAGCAGATCAGAGGTAATTAAGGGGACGCCACAGGCTGGTAAATTCTAGGGACCGTAAAAATGTTTTAGCACACCAGTAACTGCTTTCACTCACTTTCAAGTTAATTCCTGTATCATAAAGGAACTTTAGAAATTTCAGTATGGAGTGACCTAGTTATATGTTGAAGTTCTGTGCATATGTTTTGTGAATACCTTGTAATTGTATGCAAAAATAAATGATCCATTAGCTTTTGTATTGAACTTTTCTAATTGAATTTGCAGTGCTATGCTTTACCTATCCTATCCTATCCTGTCCTATCCTATCCTATATAATAAAAGGCTAATATGCTAAGCGTCCAACCCTTCGTTCAACTGTTCGACCGGTTACTATGACGCACACTGACCACCAGAGGGCAGACGCTCTGACTGGTAGTTTAGCTTGCTGCTGGGGTCTGGCTGATGAGGACTGGACTAGATGGGCCGGACATGCCCTGGAGCCCTCCCATGGTTTCTCCCCACCCCCAGTCGTGCACTGGTGGGGTCCCTCGGCCTGGTCTGCGCCCTCTCACAAGCCAGGACCCTTGGGGGATGTCAGAGAGCCGGTTTCAGCCCAGTCTCCGCAGACCAGGTCGAGGGACCCCACCAGTGCACAAATCCGTGCACCGGGCCTCTAGTGTTATATAATGTTTAGTATGTGTTCACCATTGAGTTCTTTCTCTCCAAATAAAGAATTGAAAGTTAGACATTTGTTCCATTTTATTAAATTTCTTTATTAAAGAAACTCTATTACAAATTAATTTAAATTTGACTATGAAAGATAGCAGTGCTTATCTTGGAAAATTTTGTATTTTGTCGGTGGGAAGGAAAACCATCTCAGTTTTATATCTGGCAAGTTAATATTATGGCTAAAGGTAGTTTAATTATCTTTCAATGTGTTCTTTTTAATTATAACATGCTTTATTGTCATAGATCATAGTGAATAAATGATCATAATCTCTAATTTTCAGTCTTTAAATTTTGGTTTAATAATTTTAGAAAGCAATTAGGCTTTTTTTCCCCAGACAAAGCAATGATTTCTGAAGCTTTCTGTTTTTGAGAAAGCCTATTACATTGTGTAAGGATCAGACTAGATTTAGCAAGGTAATACTGCCTTGGAGAGGGTCACTGTGGTACAAGGCCTGTCCTCAAATTTGTCATTACAAGAATTCAAACTTTTGTTGTGATATCCAGAATTTGTTTCCATTTACACGGTACCTTATGCATACAAACGAAACAGATGCGAAACTTATGAAAAACACAAATAAAGCTGTCAAGGGGATTGTGCTGGTTAATGCAGTCTTTTCTTACAGATAAAAAAAGTATAAGATATATTTAATGGTTTGGTGAGCACATTCAAAAGGGAAATCATTTGGTTTGAGTGATTTTGATAAAAATTCCATAAAACTAAGATAACCTGATCTCTTTACTATGGGAATAATTTGACAGATGGATTAGAATTTTTCATTAACATAAACTCTATTTTGAGTATTTGGAGAGATATTGATGATATTTTTCTATGACATCTGATCTCTTTTTACTAGGCTCTCTACACATTATATATTCCTCATCAGTTATCACTCCTAATTCAAACAATTATATAAATACTAGAGGCCCCAGTGCACGAATTCATGCGCCAGTGGGGTCCCTCGGCCTGGCCTGCGGGATCGGGCTGAAAGTGGCTCTCCAGCATCCCTTGAGGGTTCCCGGATTGTGAGAGGGCACAGGCCAGGCTGAGGGACCCCCCCAGTGCACAATTGGGGCCGGGGAGGGACACGGGAGGTTGGCCAGCCGGGGAGGGACTGTGGGAGAGCTCCAGGGCATGTCCGGCCCATCTCGCTCAGTCCCCGATTGGCTGGACCCCAGCAGCAAGCTAGCCTACCAGTCGGAGCGTCTGCCCCCTGGTGGTCAGTGCATGTCATAGCGAGCAGTTGAGTGGCCTTAGCATATCATTAGCTTATTGCGCTTTGATTGGTTGAACGGGCAACCGGACATTTAGCATATTAGGCTTTTATTGTATAGGAAGATTAGTAGTTACAGTCACATTCAAAGACATTCCTTTGAACCAGTATCTATTTTGGTTATAAAATTTCAACTCCACATTAACATTTTCTTAAATTCATGTAAATTACCATTTATTCTCACCACAATCTTATATAATAAAACCCTAATATGCAAATCGATCAAACACTGTCCTTATAGCTAGAAGACCAGCAAAAATGAGAATTTCCCCATACCCCTTTGCTCCAGCAAAAAGTCTAGAGAGAGCCTCTGTTGACTCAGCTTCAGTCATATACCCAGCCAGAAGTAATGACTGTGGCCAGAGAGATGAGTTAGTTATTTAGTTTGCACTGACTCCTTTATCTGTTCTTGTAGCTCCCAGGGGTGGTATCAGCCCCTCTCAGAGCATATCTAAAAAAGACGAAAGACATGCTTTTCAAAGTTATGTGTTTTATTGTCACTCTCACTGCAACTTTGTGATAAGACTAGGTAATTTGAATGCTGGTACTGGTAAACATCCTACATTGCACAGGATCGAACCTCCCCTTATCCCACCACTAAGAATTGTCAGGCCAGTGTCAGTAGTGCCAAGGTTTAGAACCCTGGACTAATTTAATTGGGAATTTAGATGGTCTACTTAGGAAAAAGGAAGGTCATGGTTCAGACTATTCCCAGTCAAATTTTCATGTTTTCATGACATAAGTTTTAGAGTAAGTAAATGATTGTTAGGAATTATGAAGTAGTGAATAGCAAAGGACCAGGCAAATTGTTTCTAATGAGCATTTGACAAATTGATTCGTAAGTTACTGAAAACTGAACACATGCACTACTCTTAGTTGATAACAATACTATTGAAACAGGCATTTTATTGAAGAAACCTATCCAAAAGTAGAGCGTTCCTATGAAACCTTTTGTATACCAAAATGGAAAGCCAAGAAGCAATCACAGTAGTGTGCTCCCCTCATTTGAGGGCAATGCATTCCTAGACTACCCAACAGAAAGACCAGTGTTACCAAACTCTGTATATACTTTGTTTTTCCTTATACGTGTATATACCTCCGATAAAGTTTAATGTATAAATTAGGTACACTAGGAGATTAACAGCAATAATAATAAAATAGGACAATAACTACTGTAATAAAAATAATGAATATGGTCTCAAAATATCTTACTGTACTGCTTGTGATGATGTGAGAGGATACAGTGCCTATGTGATGAAATGAAGTAGGTAAATTACGCAGAGCTTTTCAAACCGTGGTTGATAGTGGATAACTTAAAACCACGGGAGCAAAAATGCTTATAAGGGGCAACTACTGGTAACATTAATTTACATGGAAAAATTTTTGAGCGTTTCCAGACCCCAAAATAACTTACCAAATAACACATAAAACCTAAGATTATATTAACATATAGTAAAATCAGGAATGATATAGGCTCTCTGTTACCTTAGGATACATCTTGCCAAATGGATGCACAAAATCGAGGTAAATCACAGATAATAGACAGTAAGAAACCATGGCGGCTTGATGCTTAAATGATGGGTGTAGTATCCAAGGCAGAAGTTTGGTGGCGCCACTCAGGCACACTGGCTCTATAAAGGCTCACTACAGAACAAAGCTGAATGCCGTTTCCACTTTTTTTGCCTTTTTTCATAGAAGTGAAAATTGTCTCCAGATACCTTTTGATTAGCAAAAAGTTACTAATGTAGATCTTTCATAAAAATGAAGTTATGTAACTGGAAAAGCTCAGCTAGATGACTTAAAATTCATGTCATTGATCATAGTATGACCTTTCAAGATTGTATCCTTGGCTTCCTAGGACTTCCAGAATGATTCCAGAAGTATCTCCCAGTTTGTGCTGGTTTCATAGGCTTTATGTGGGGGTATCTAACTGGAGAACACTGGGACTCAGGGACCCCCTTCCTCTTCCTGAGTCAGGTTTCCTTGTAAGGCCTTGTCCACCCCATACCCATCACTACAAAAATATAACTAGTCTATAACCTTCAGCGAACATGGACTGAGCAGGGAATAGAAGTCAATAGCAGTATATTCAAATTCACATTGTGATGGGAGTTTTATTTACAACTTAGAATTTCACTAGGATTCTACAGCAAATTTTAAAAGGCATGAGGTTTACAAAGGAAATTTTCTAGAGACTGTCCTTTAAGCTGTATTTTAAATAATATAAACTTTGGGGAAAAGAAAGATAGGATATTTAAACTGTATGGTGGGTGGAGCAGGTAAGGTCCATGAAAACACTTGGCTTATTGCCTGGTACATAGGAGACGTTTAGCTCTTAATTTCTTTTTCATAGCAAAAGGAACTTTGACACTGTCAGTTCTCCTTTATCTCTTAGAGTCAAAATTTTTCTCCAGCTGGCATTTTTATTGGCATTTAAATGATAATGTCTCATCTCTCTCTAAAAAACAAACAAAACCAGACTTTCTTCCACTATACCTCCTCTTTAGCTACTGCCCTATTCTTCCTCACAACCAAACTTTCCAAGAGTTTTCTGCTTTATTTCTTCACCATTCATTTACTCCTTAGTTCTCTCCAGTATGACTTCAGCTTCTATCTCTGCACAGAATGTTCTTGAAAGATCTCCCTCTCTCCTTGTTAATAAATCCAGCATACCTTTTTTCAGTGTTCAGTCTGGTCTCAGCATTTAACCAGTTTATCACTCCTTGAAACATTTTCTTCCCCTAGCAGCTGTGCTGCCATGGTTTTGATATTTTATCTTATGACTGTTCCTTCTTAATTTTGTCTGTGTTTTCATCTTCCTGTGTTTTAGAATTCCACAAGGCTCTCTTAGGTTCTCCTCCTTTCCTTTCACTTTTAATATTTTTATGAGATTCAGGCTTTATTCTTACTATAATGGAAATTTTAATGATGGAACCTAAATGCTTTTTAAAAAATGACTTATTTTTATGAAAGTTATTTATATTCATTATATTTTCAAGCATCATAGGAAAATAATTGCCCCAAATCCTACCACCAAGAAATAAGCAGCGTTAGCATTTGGGTGAGCAATTTTTAGATATTCCTTTTCAAAAATATTGAACATCCATTAAATCTTAAAATGTGCCAGAATTGTTTTATAAATTATTTTAAATCCTCATAACCCTATGTGGTAGGGTTGCGAAGCCCATTTCACAGGTGAGGCAGAGAGAAGGGAAATAATTTGCCTACGGTCATAATAGGTAGTAAGTGTTGGTGGTGCTATCCAAACCAAGAGAGCTTGGAATTTGATAAATAAACTTAAGTAAGACAGAATTTGAAAGTGGATAAAGTGGTACTTCTCTGGTTAGATTGCTTACTCACCTAGGCTATGAATATTGTCCAAGATTGAAGTTAGGCAAGTAGTAGGACCACAATTTACCTTTTAGTTTTTATCATTTTGGCTCTAAGTATTTGTTTAATGATATGTTTAACAAATTCTCTCAAATTCACAATTTACCTTTCAGTTTTTATCATTTTGGCTCTAAGTATGAGTTATTTGTTTAATGATATGTTTAACAAATTCTCTCAAATTTTGGCAATTAAAAAATATTATGTTTTATTAATTTAGTATATGAAAATGATGATCAACTCCTGTGGGATCCTGAGTACTTACCGGAAGATAGAGTGATTATATTTCTTAAGGATGCATCTAGAAGAACAGGTGATGAGAAAGGTGTAGAAGCAATTCCTGAAGGATCTCACATAAAAGACAATGAACAGGTACATGAATAAGAAATGTTACAATTTCCCCCAAATAAATTAATCATATACATATTTTAACTGTAGATGCTATCACATTTAGTTATTCTATCCACTAAAATTCCTGTAATGTTATGAACGGAATCTGAGGTTATGATCAGCATAAGATACCTAGTGTTAACACATCATGGGTATGATTTCAGCTCAACAAACAAAAATCTTGATATTTCAGTTTGCCTGTACATATTTTTTATTAGGCTTTATAAAACATTTTTAATTGATTTCAAAGAGAGCAAAGGAGAGGGAGGTAGAAATATCAGTGAGCGAGAAAAGTTTCTTTGGATCTCATCAAGTTGGGAATACTGTGCACATCTAGTATAATGTTATTACATACCAGTGGCCACTGCAAACCTAATGACAGCATTATTTATTTTTACCTTTTCTTAAAAATATATTTTTATTGACTTTAGAGAGGGAGGGCGAGGGAGAGAGATACAGAAATATCGTCAATCATTGATCAGTTGCCTCCTGCATGCCCCTCTTCGGGGATTGAGCCCCAACCCAGGCATGCGCCCTGACCGGGAATTGAACCATGACCTCCTGGTTAATAGGTCGACGCTCAACCACTAAACCACACCCAGCCAGGCTTTTTTTTTTTTTTTTACCTTTTTTAATCAGTGTTTTTCTTTTCTGATGTGTTCAAAATTAGAATAGGAACCCTAAAGGGCCAAAAAAGAAGGAATTTGTGATCTTTATAAAACAGTTTTTTGTTTCTAAATTCCTGTGATATTGTGGAAGCCAACTTAAGTTATTTGTTTATCCTATTTTCTAAATATTTAGACCAGTGGTTCTCAACCTGTAGGTCGCGACCCCTTTGGGGGTCGAACGACCCTTTCACAGGGGTCGCCTAAGACCATCGGAAAATACATATATAATTACATACTGTTTTTGTGATTAATCACTATGCTTTAATTATGTTCAATTTGTAACAATGAAAATACATCCTGCATATCAGATATTTACATTACGATTCATAACGGTAGCAAAATTACAGTTATGAAGTAGCAACGAAAATAATTTTATGGTTGGGGGTCACCACAACATGAGGAACTGTATTAAAGGGTCGCGGCATTAGGAAGGTTGAGAACCACTGCTTTAGAGGTAGCTGATTATCAGGATTGGGGTTAAGTTTGTTTCTCTGTAGTGTTCATTCATTGGAATTATTTGTCCTCCAGAAAGGATGAAAACACTGGATTTTGGAAAAGCCTTTACTCTCTTAAGAAATTGTAGCTTATATTGAAACCCTTTATTTTTCTAGGCATTATATGAATTGGTTAAATGCAATTTTGACACAGAAGAAGCATTGAGAAGATTAAGATTTAATGTAAAAGCAGCTAGAGGTAAGCATAAATAAATACTAAATTTGTTTTCATGATGTAGCAGAAATTTAAAACTTACGCTCTTAGGTCTACCTAGCTATATTCTTTTAATAATACTGATCTTTCTGAATTTAGTAAATATTTGTTGAATAACCAATAACTTGTTAAATAACTTGTGTGTAGCAGCAAGAGTTTTACAGGGGTGGGCAAAGTAGATTTACAGTTCCTACAGAAAAAGACATGCCGGTTATGATTATATTATAACAATACAGGAATAAGCTTTCTGGTACTCACAACCATAAGCCTACTTTTTTTTTTTTTCTTTAATCTTTATTGTTGAAAGTATTACATAGGTCCTCCTTTTTCCCCCATTAACCTCTTCCACCCTGCTCTCGTCCTCCCCTCGTCCCCCTGTAAGCCTACTTTTGCCACCCTTATACAAGGCATTATGGGAAATGGGATTAAGGTTGTCCCTTCTTTAGAGAAAATAAAGCCATTTAAATAAAACTACTTATTGCTTTTGAATCTCAACACATTTTTATAAACATCTTATTCGATCTTGGTGACAGCCCTATGTTCTAAATTACGTGACAAATGTTACCTTCACTTCAAAATTGGTAAGACTGAGGTCTCTGAACAGAAGTAATTTAGCTGAGGCAATCATTATTCATAAATAGTCATAAGTAAAGTCTGGGTTTGGGTTTTTTTGTGTGTGCTTTTTCTCTCAACTCTTTACATATTATTATATAACAAATGAAAGATTCGTTCAACAAAAATTGGAAGGTCTAAGTACTAAGGACATAACTATAAACAAAGTCCTTGCCCTCATGCTGCTTAGACATGGTAGGGAAACTGGAAAATAGTTATACATTCTTAAAGGAGAATTAAAGGGTGCATTTCAAACTTATTGCAGTGGAACTTAATGTAGTTGAGGGAAAGGGTGAGGCTGTTGGGGAAAGCTTCTAGAACAAAGTGATATTTTTGTTGGGATGTAGGAGGCACAAAATAATTCCATGCAAAAGGAACAGTGTGCACAGATTCTGAAGAAAGAACATAAATTTAAAGAATTGACAGGTGGCTCATATAGGTGGGTCATAAAGAATAAAGGAGAAAGTGGCTCAAGTTGAGATTGGAAACATAGGGTATCATCCAAAATTTTATTAATAAGGAGTTTTTGTCACTGTCATTTGCAGCCATAAGTAATAGAGCTTAGGGGTAAAATACTTCCTTTATTGTGACCAGGAAGTTATATTTTTATTTGCAGTTTTGTTATATACAGCATTTGGGGAACATTCCTTAACAGTTGTTTTCCTCCCATTTTGTCAGAGGAATTGTCTGTTTGGACAGAAGAAGAGTGTAGAAATTTTGAACAAGGGCTGAAGGCCTATGGAAAGGATTTTCATTTGATTCAGGCTAATAAAGTAAGTGACATATGTTCTCTAGTTTACAAAAAGAAATTAGTTAACCTAATTTATCTTATGTCTTTATTATTTTCTAATGTTAAAAGTTGTACCATAAAATTTTAATATATGGTATTTAGGGAATTATTATAATAAACATGCCTGGACTTCCTGGCAGATATTTGCCAAGTGACTTTTCAGTGCATGATGTTAGAAGCCTTTATATTGTACTCATTTGCAAATACGTTCAACAACTTCTGGGTGGGATGTGTGCGTACTATGTAATTATTTAAAGCTATTTTCCACAACCTGTGACAAATTTCTTTTAGGAGGGTCTTCAAAATAATTTTGAAACTTTAAAGCATTTTTAACATGACATTTACATTTTAAATATTTACATTTGCTTAAGTCCTGAGTGGTCAAAAATCAGATATTCTATTTAATATGGTTTTAACTAGGATAAATATATTTTTATTGATTTCAGAGCGGAAGGGAGAGGGGGGGAGAGACAAAAAAAATCAACGATGAGAGAGAATCATGCCTCCTGCATGCTCCCTCTCTTCCCCCCCCCCCCCCCACACACACAGGATTGAGCCTGCAACCCAAGCATGTGCCCTGACCAGGAATTAAACCGTAACCTACTGGTTCATAGGTCAACAATTTTATTTAACATGATCATAATTCCATATTGGTAATATCAATCATACAGTGTCAGTGTATACCCAAAAGAACTTCACTATTACTTGGAGATTTATTTTTAGGTTTAATTCTCTTGCAGCTGAAATCAGGTAAGATTTTTTAATAGTAATTACACAATTATATAGACTGGGGAAATGTGCTGTTCCTGTGGGGAATTGGAACAGGCAAAAATTAAACTCTGAGAGTTTAAATGTAGGAAATTACGTAATTTCCAGGCTTAAAAATATTACACTTTTAGCAAATATAAGTGACAAAAGAACTTGGCTTTACATGTTTCCTTGAAGATAGTAGCTAAGTCTTGTGTGGTGGCTTACTAGGATGATGTTAAAAGTATCTGGGCTTAAGTCTTGGGCTCTAAATAGTCTGTGACCACATTCTCCTTATATTCCTCTGGATCTGATTGGATGGTGTCCGCTTGATTTGTTTTAACACATATTTAACAGTATTTTATGTTTCATAAATAAAATATTGCTTACAAATCCTATTGGTTCATTTTTCTTAATTTTGCTCTTGATTATCTTGCATCTTGGTATAGAACATCAGACATAACTAATAGAAAAATTTTGAGTCATAGCATTGTTTTTAGAAAATGTATCTATACTCCTTAATGTTGTATCCAAATCTATGACCTCCAATATAGTGAATAACACTATGAAAGGAATGCATTACGCTAATGACTGGTCATATATGGTTCTGAATGTAAAATACAGTTTGATGTTTGAAGGGACATTTTGGATAACAGTTTTCTAGCATTCTTGCTTGAATTTAAACACTTTTGATCAAACCATGTTGGATTACCTATAGAAGAGACCCCTGGAATGATAGGCTGGTATAACTAGAAGCAACAACATACCCCTAGAAATCCCCCCCTTTTTTTTTTAAGGAATAAAAAATTATTAGGTGATTTGAAACCACTATCCAAAAATGCCTTTACATAATATTGACTATAAGCCTGGATTTGTTTATAAACATTTGGGATGGTGATATTTCACTGTTACAGAAGTCAGCTGCTCTATACCTAATATACTACTTGTTCGAGTCAACGGAGGGAAGACAGTATTCTTTAACACATTAAGCGCCCTGTCAGTCACCGGTGACTGACACTATTCTTTCTGTCTGGAAGACAAAACAGGCTGGGCTCTTAACATGTTAAGACTTTGTTTTTACACCTGGAATTGAAGTTTGATCTTAATCATAAGTTCTATTATGCAGGTTTATTTTATTGAAGATTTTTCATAATGTTAAATTCACATGCCCCAAAGTATCTTCAATTTTTACTCTCAAAAGTACAATTGAGCCCTAACCGGTTTGGCTCAGTGGATAGAGCTTCGGCCTGCAGACTGAAAGGTCCCGGGTTCGATTCCGGCCAAGGGCATGTACCTTGGTTGCGGGCACATCCCCAGTAGGGGGTGTGCAGGAGGCAGCTGATCGATGTTTCTCTCTCATTGATGTTTCTAACTCTCTATCCCTCTCCCTCGTTCTCTGTAAAAATATCAATAAAATATATTTTTTTAAGAAAAGTACAGTTGACTTGGCTTGTATCTATTGAGAAATAAGATTCTAAAGGAGGCAAAAAGAGCTTGAAAGATTTTTTTTTTTGAGCCCTAATAGCTTTCAGCCTTCAAGTGACATAGGCCAAAGTTGTAAAATGCAAGCAGAGGGGAAGAAAGAAAAATGTATGTCAGGTAATGAAATAAGTGAATAATCAGATTGACCTTAGGGTGCAATCAATCTCACAAGATACCTCCTTCAAGATAGGAATGTGTGGGTTAAAGTAATATTATCTTGTATCCCAAGTACTCATGCAGGTACCTTTTTTTCATTTTCAACCCTTCCAGCTCTCCAAGCCAAGTAGCAAAACAGAATTTTGTCAACATCATTTGTCATCCCATAGGTGAACATTTGTGAAGTGAACACATTCAATTACACAAATAGGTACAGCACAGTAATCACAGGAGTAACTTAGTAAACAAAGCATTAGCATTATAATAGCTTTTAACTCACTGCGGACTATTCTCAGCCTTTTTGTAAAATAATTGAGTCTGGATCACTGTAAAACATATATTTGTTTCTTACAGGTTCGAACAAGGTCAGTTGGTGAATGTGTAGCATTCTATTACATGTGGAAAAAATCTGAACGTTATGATTTCTTTGCTCAGCAAACACGATTTGGAAAAAAGAAATACAATCTTCATCCTGGTGTAACGTGAGTGTCTTTTCTTTTGTGTCATGTGTTTTTACTAAGCTTTTCTATTTGCTTTGTTGGGGTGGGAGTTGTGTGTTTCTTTTTAATTTATTAACTTTAGAGAGAAACATCAATTTGTTGTTTATTTTTGCATTCATTGGTTGATTCTTGTATATGCCCCTGCCTGGGAATTGAACCCGAAACCTTGGCATATCAGGACGATGCTCTAACCAACTGAGCTACTTAGCCAGAGTTTTACTAAGCTTTTCTAAATTTTTCATGAGGAAATTGTAATTGTTTAGTAATACTTCAGTTTCAATTTATCCATTATTGACATATCTATAGGACATTTGCACTTTTCAGTGTCTTAGAAAACATTGCAAACTACAGTTCATATTATTTGAGCTAACAAATATATCAAAGCAAATGTTAGAGTGTATGTTTCAGTAGGATTCCTTAAAGTAAGTGGATCAGAACAGCTGTGAAAGCATGTTTTTATTTAATTCTATTTCATTCAGTATAAGCATTTATAGTTTTAATGTAATAACTCTGTGAGAGCAGTAAGAATAGAAAAGAGAGACTTTTCTAAAAACCACAGGGTCATATGCCTAATAGAGGCACTTTAAAGAGGAAGGGAAATTAATATTTTTTCTGTCTAATCTATTTTTGATCCAGGTAACCAAAACTCTATGCAAAATGCCTTATATGTCTAATCTAGTCCCCGTGCACCAAATTCTCTTAGCCTTCAGTCAGTCTAGCTCTGGAATGAAGCACTGTCCCCATTGCCACTAGTAATTTGTTATTTAAGTGCATAGAGCAGCGACATTCAACCTTTTTCATCTCATGGCACATATCAACTAACTAGAGGCCTGGTGCACAAATTTGTGCACGGGTGGGGTCCGGCTGGCCAGCTTCGATGGGGGCCAATCATGCAGGCGGGTGGGAGGGACCGCGGGCAGTTGGCTAGCTGGCCCTGCCCCCTATCAGGTTGGTGGGGCCAGGCCGGCCCCACCCCCGATTGGGGTGGAGGGGGCCGATTGGGGGCCGGGCTGGCCAGTGAGAGGGCGGCTGCAGTGCATGTCTTAGTGACCAGTCGTTCTGGTTGATTGGCTTTTATATATATAGATACTGAAATTTTTGCCGATCTGACAAAAAAATTAGGTATAATTTTGATTCATTCATACCAATGGCTATTGTTGTGTTGGCTGTTGTCATTTTTTAATTTGACAATCTAAGGGAAAAGAGGTCAATGCCCCTGACTATCAATAGTTAGGTATTACATGTTTTAAAATTTTTGCGGCACACTAGTTGAAAATGGCTGACATAGAGTATAGAACCTATCCTCTCACATGAGTTGCTCTAAAATGTTAATGAATTGTTACAGTGAACTTAACTTGATCATACTAATAAGAATAATGTAAAATGTGACTTCATTTGGTCAGTGTTCACTAGTAAAGTTCTTAAGCTGGCCAAATAACTGCCTTTGAAAGATGTGCTTGTATACACATTTGTGCTTTAGAAATTTGTTGGCTAGACTATTTCTGAGTGATGTTTATTTATAGGTCTCTCTGCTGGTCATTTTGCTGGAGGATCAAACACTCTAAAGTCAAAAGCAAAATCATCTAAATAAATAAATTGGTTATGATTGCCCTTGCAAATCATGGGTACATTGGACTCTGTGCCTCATCCCCCATTACTTAAAGCTCATGGTAGCTAGAGTGGAATTTCATAACAGTATTCCAGATTTTGTCTAATTGTCTAATGTTAATACATTTATAAATTTTTTCTGGATTATATAATGAATTGGTATTGTTGAGGCATAATGATGTAGAACTAGATATAGCTGTCTACAGAATGTACCATTTTAGTCACAATTTTCAAGCTATTCTGTAGGAAAAAGCAGTAGTAACATTTCATTTTTTTTACCCATTTCAGAAATAATATTTACACATGAACTATAGGCAGTCTGTCATGATCAGCATAAGAACATAAGAATTGCCATGTTGGGTCAGACCCATGGTTCATCCAGTTTTCTTTTCCAGAGAGCATCACCAGGGGCGGTGCTGTGGGCTGGCTTTGTTGGTCCTCTTTGTTGTCAAGCTTCACAGGTTAGGTAGGAATGTGCTGCCAAACATTTTAGTTTCTCTAATAATTTCTCCGTAGCTTCTGTAAACGTTTTGAAGATACCTATGTCTGTAACCTTGTTTCCTGTTAAGGTTAACTTATTCTTAGGTGGAATAGTCACAGTTAAGGGTAATCCCACATTTTCTCTTTTCTCGGGCTTCAAGAGTTAACAGTGGTCCTCTGGTGTAATGGTATGAAGTGAACAAATGTGCTTGCCCCACTAGGCAAGATACGGTTTTATAGTCTTTGATTATGTTCCCTTTGGATCTTCCATAAAGTTTTATTTTTTTTTTAGCTGAACTGTAATTTTAAACCAGACTATACATTATTTTCCAGATGGGGAGAAATTGTGGTTTTCTGTAAGCATGGAGATATTTTTCCAGTTTGCTTCCAAACTTATTTTTCCAGTTTGCTTTTTATTAGTAGTTGCACACAACATTAAGTTAATGCCTTTAGCCAAAATTACATTTTTCATCTTTATTTTTAGTCAAAATCATAGAGTACACTTTCCTGAAAGTTATTTGTTCATTTTTCTGTTGCATTGTTATCTGGCATTTGTTCACCAGAACGAGCTACATTCTTTGCCTATAAATAGCCTTTGAAAAATTCTAATACAGATTCTTTCTTCACTACCTGGAAGAATTGGTAGCTATATGCAAATTGGAGATTTGGCTGTAACTGCCTTGCATTTAATTTCTTTGCTTTTTTTTTTTTTTTTTAAGTAAAAATTGCCCTGGCTGGTTTGGCTCAGTGGATAGAGCGTCGGCCTGCGGACTGAAGGGTCCCAAGTTCGATTCTGGTCAAGGGCACATGCCCAAGTTGTGGGCTCCATCCCCAGTAGAGGGCGTGCAGGAGGCAGCCCATCAGGGATTCTCTCTCTTCCTCTCTGAAACCAATCCTATATAATAAAAGCCTAATATGCTAAGTGTCCAGTCATCTGGTCGTTCGTTCAAACAATCAAAGAATAATATACTAATGATATGCTAAGGCAGCTCAACCGCTCACTATGACATGCACGGACCACCAGGGGGCAGATGCTCTGACCGGTAGGTTAGCTTGCTGCTGGAGTCTGGCCGATTGAGACTGAGTGAGACAGGCCGGACACGCCCTGGAGCCTTCCCATGGTCCCTCCTTGGTTGGTCAACCTCCCACAACCCTCCCCAGTCCCAATCGTGCACCAGTGGGGTCCCTCAGCCTGGCCTGCGCCCTCTCGCAATCCGGAACCCCTTGGGGGATGTCGGAGAGCTGGTTTCAGCCCAATCCCACAGGCCAGGCCAAGGGACCCCACTGGTACACGAATTCATGCACTGGGCCTCTAATAAAAATATATTAAAAAGAAAAAAAGTAAAAGTTAACTCAGCTAACTTTGGTTATCTGAATGCTATTCCACTCTCCTGGGTGGTCTACCTGACTCCTCTTCTTCCTTAAGCATTCTGGATGCCATTAATCATTAAATAATAATAATTCTTTCACAATGTCATTGATGTATTCAGAAATTTAAAGTAACTTTGATATCTAGTCAATTCTAGTTTCCTTTGCTTGGCTTTTAGCATCCTCCATTATCCATTCCCACCATACCAAATTTATTTACAGCAATTCCTCATCATGCATCTTCTGTTCCTATTAGCCTTAGCTTCTGAATTCCCTTTAGCATTCATCATGCTCATTTCTGTTTCTCTGTGCTTCAACTTTGTTACATAATTGTTCTGCAGTTAAGATAAATGGCATGAAGCCGAAAGGTCATAAAGACCATTAAATTTAACTCCTTTCATTTATAGATGAGGTAAATAGGCCTAGAATGTTAAATTGATTAGCTTGTTATCTTGTATGTTTCTTTGATATGTGTTAATTTTGTACCTCAGATTGTTGGAAGCTCCTTGAGCTCAGGTACGACATCCCTATATTTATTATATCCCATAACCCAAGGGACAATGTGATCATGAAGTTTGAGATTATAGCTATAGTTGATTGTCTTTTTATGGACTTTTAACATAGACTTTGAGCCTTCCCACTGTTTTCTTATCCACATTTTTATCCACATTCTTTGTCCTGCTCACAAAATTCTAAAACATTTGACTGAATATTTCCATTATACTTATTCTGAGGGAATTTTAAAATATGTATTTTTGTTTTTATTAAGCTTCTACCTGTGCCATGCACAACTTAGGCACCAAAAGTGCACTGGTAAACAAAACAGACTAAAGTCCCTGCCTTCAGGGAGTTTTTCCAGTGCCGGTGTTGGCAGACTTTTCCTATATGTGTCTTATACAACAACCCTATATGGTAGATAGGTCATGTATGATTATATGCCTTTGACAGATAAGAGCACTCTACCTCAGAGAGATAGTAAGCCCAGGTCTAACCCAAACCAATGTCATATACACAACTATCTTCCATGCCGTAACATTCAGGAATGACTTAGTGAAGAAATGAACTCGCATTTAATGACATAGTGGCAGGTAAAGCCAATAGATAAGCCCAGAAATTTAGTGAGCTTATAGCTCATATCTAGCAGAAAGGTAATATAGAAGGTATCCAGGAAGATTTATGGAGGTGATTCATTGTTAAGACCTAATTTGTCTTTTAGATGTTGCCATAGTCATCAAATAGACTTCAGGGGCTTTAAAATTCCAATGTTGCTCAGAAATTCTTCTGTACTCCTTCTGGTTGACATGATCCCTATCTCTTCACTTTTAGATCCTCTGGTTTTAGTTGGACCACTCTGAGCACTTGCCTACAATTTTAAAAGTTTTAAAGCTGCCTATACGTCTCTAAAATTAGCTAGTTTAAGGCTCTTACGCATTTTTCCTACAAACATGTAACCAAAAGAAGCTTTCCATCTACACGTTCAGATCCTGGTGTGATAGATAAGGCACTAGAATGAATGTAGTAGTAAGTGAAAATTAGGATATATTTGTAAATAGAGCCTTCTCAATTTAACCTCATTTAATTTTCAGCTTTTATAATATAAGAAAATAATTACTTTATTATCTTACTTAATTTTAAGGGATTACATGGATCGTCTCCTGGATGAAAGTGAAAGTGCTGCCTCCAGTCGAGCACCATCCCCTCCCCCAACTGCCTCAAACAGTAGTAACAGCCAGTCTGAGAAAGAAGATGGCACTATAAGCAATAGTAATCAAAATGGTAAGCAACCAAAGGAACACTTCTGTTTCTTTTTGTAGCCTGGAATGTTCAGTTTTGGTTTCTATTAAACTTCAGTGCAGAAGTTAAATTAATCATTGTAAATATCAGATGAAACATACATGATATCAGCATACATACGTACATACTAACAATACACAGAATACAAGTTAATTGGAAAGACCTCCCATTGATATCACTAAAAAGTAAGTTTAATAAACTATACTGTCAACAGTGACGATTTCTTTTAAGAAATTTATTCTTTTTGAGTAGCATCTCTTTTCTTATCCAGTTAGGATGTCTGAATATAAATATTCTTGTTAATTTTTAGACCAAAACCCCAGCCATTTCACATCAGAAATACACATTTTTTAAATATTTTGAGAGCTTATAACACATACTGATAAAAAGGGATAGATAACAAAGACACCATCTTGAATATTTTTCTCTTTGATAGCATAATAACTTTGAAGGATAGGAAAAGATCAAAGAGAAACATTTCTATTTCTATTTCCATGAAAAAAAAGAAGCAGAAGGCATACCATTATGATTGAGGTTCAGATAATGTTCCTGTTTAAAATATACAGTGGACCAAAGATCATTGTGCTCATCAGTAACACCTAGTCAGAGAACTATTTGACTTCTAATTTAATAAAAATGATCTTCCTAAGTAAGACAGTAGCCAGGCAGAAAGTAATAAGTCCCTCACTCCTCTTTAGAAAGAAACAGGTACATTATAGATAAGTTCTGCCCACTTACATTCTGATGTAGCAGCCTTAGGGAGGGCCAGTGCAGAGCTAGCTAAACTGATGACAGAAACTAGAAGAGAAACGCTGAGAAAAATTTGACCCTTGTTCTGACCTTTGGTCTGACCCTGGCACTGCTGTAGTGAATATACTGCACTTTGCTTATTTGATTATCCCTCTCTATTTCCTCACTACTTCCCTTCTAAGAGCAAGCCTAGCCAACAAAAAGTAGGGCCCAACAACCAATTTCCTGGTCCAAAAAGTTTCATTGACATGACATCTAATGCTAGCACATCCACCTTGAAATACAATAAAAAGCTGAAATTCTGACCTTGGGACTAGAAGTAGAAACTCAGTTGGTACTACAATTGTCTTTTCCTACTTGCTCATAATACCAAATAAATAATTTCCTTTTCTTGTTCTTTTTTAAGCATTTGATGAGAACATGCAGGTCGAGTAGGAGAGTTTCATGATTTACCTATAAATTACTCAGTAGCCCAGAAGCTATTCACATTGAGTACCTAAAACTCAAGTTTCTCAGGTTTTTCGAGGAAAGGAAGGAACTTTCTAACCCAGTTTTATTTATTTGTAAGGGACTTTATCAGTCTCTTGAAACCTTACGGTTATTTTTGACCTAATCACAGTGTCACCAACTCTTTCAGCTTACTACAACAAAATCATGATATATAATCCTGCGATTCATGATTGGGTGTACTTGTGAGTTGAGGAAAATAGGATATTTACTTTGACCAAAATGTAATATTTGAGTCTTATCCTTTATAGTGAATATTTTAATTAAATTTTAACTATCTTTAGTGACACATTTTATATTTTTACATTAAGTATTCCCACAATTTCTACTTCTTATTGCAGATAAATTGAACGTGACCTTTTTACTATTACTTGCTTTCATTAGAATAATTGTGTTCTTTTCTCACCTATTATGGAGGAATTTATTTACTTTTAGCATTTTCAAGTGTATGCCTAGACAATGAAAGCATTAATTTTCAACATGACAACATTACTTAAATTAATTTAGATAATATTTTCCTCTTTACCCTTAAAGTACAGTAATATCCATAGATTTACATTAAGAATTAAAAAGTCACATCATTGTAATTTTATGTGGCAGTATAAAGCTCAAGCTTCTAAAGAAAGAATATAATATTTTACATGGTTTTAGAAAGGTATAGCCGTTTGTTAAATCTGAATAATTTATGCATATCTTTGCTTAAAATTCAGCTTTTTTTGACTACTGGACCCAGTGCTTATTTTGTCACATAATATCAACCTGCTCTTAATATATGCCAAATTCTGTTCTTAATTCTTTATACTTACTAACTTATTTAATCTTCACAACAACTGTGTAAGGTAGGCTATCATAAGTTATCCTCATTGTATATATGATAAAACTGATGTTCAGCGAATATAAATAACTTGTCTAAGGTCACACCGCTACTAGGCAAATAAATATAGTCCAAATTCAGACCATACACAGATCTAATACCTCACTTCCTTTATGAAAAGCAGTCTTATAACAGTTTAATATTAGCAGTTTGTTTCTTCCAACTTAGGGGTGTCATCTAATGGACCAGGTGAATTATTAAACAAAGAAGAAGTAAAAGTTGAAGGGTTACACGTTAATGGACCAACAGGTGGAAATAAGAAACCACTTCATGCAGATATGGATAGTAATGGTTATGAAACAGATAATCTTACCACTGACCCAAAACTTGCCCATATTGATGAAAAAAGTGAGAGACCTGCCAAAAGGCGAAGGGTAAACAGCAATGGAAAAGAAAGCCCAGGTTCTTCTGAATTTTTCCAAGAAACAATCTCACATGGAAAATTTGAAGAACTTGAAAACACAGATGACTGAATTTTAGACTTATTTTACTTTCTTTGGAGTAAATCCTGGTGTGATTAAAATTTTCAGGGTTGATGGGTTACCTTAAAAACTTGATTTCCTTGAAGTAATTGGTTAAAATTTGAAAACTGAATTGAGTCCTAATTTTAGTAAATATGATTTCATAATTCTGCCTTTTGCAGAATTTTTATTTTAAAACTATAAAGACCCTTTTAAGGATATAACAAATAGTTTAGTAAATTTGAACTAAAGATATATCAGTACCTTTTCATTGGATGTATTAATCCTAAAGTTTTACTACAAGGTACTTTTTGCTTAATTTTTATGGCAGAGAAGAAAAAGATTTTCTGCTTAACACCAAATTTTTTTAGTTTATTGAAATCTTTCAGACATTTTTCTCTGTATACAAGTTGAGTATTGTTATTAAGGAAACCCTTATGAATCCTGAAAGTTATGCTAGCATGATTTTTTTATATATAGAAGTTTAAAAATAAACCAAGTCAGGTTTGTATATGTAAAATTGTTGACATCAATGATGTCTTTCCATATTCTTATCTGGGCTTAAGAAATACATTCTGTATTTTTCCAGATTCTTTGTAGCCTTTGAAAGATTTTTACAGTACATATGTCTTGACTGAGCTGTCTTTTCTTAATACAAAAGCTTGTATAATTTTCTTAACTTGTACAGTTGGTAAACTTTTATGAGAGGAATTGATATTCTGAGTCTGTCAGCTTTCATTTTATTTTGCTATGGTTTTTCTAATGAATTTTTAAGTGTTTTGTGTAGTAACTAAGTCATGTTTCTTATACAGGTGGTAAAAGCATTCATGAAGGATTGTGAAAATTTTTTTTCAATTTTTTACTTATGGACAAATAGTGTGAGAATTCTGAAATTAAGCATGATACTTAGATTGCATAGTTTGTTTGTATTTGCTATAATTTTCAAAATTATTTTTGAAGCAAGACAAACATTTAATGTTGGCTTAAATGCTTAAATGTATCATGCTGACCAGAATCCTGTTCGGTTATTTTTATATGCATTATGAAATTTCCCATTTTTGCATTAAATGAACTGGGGAAAAGGTCAAGTGATATTTAGATAATTGGCACGACACAAAGGATTGGCAGGCAGCAATATTGATTTTTAAGAGGAAAAAGTGTAGAAAATTTTTTGGACTTTTCCAGTTATAATCTAGTTTTTCAGATTCAATAGTATATTTCCAAAATGAAAATAAGTTATACAGTAACTATTGTTCTGTGATTACAAATAGGATCATCCATTTGCATAGCCTTGCAAGAGTGCCATTTTATTTTTAGTGCAAAATTCTTGTTGAAAAATGTAGTTTTATACAGCTGATAGACCAACCTATATCCAAACTTTTATAAAAGATTGTTACCTATTGTTTTTATCACATAGGCATACCCCAAATGCTTCTACCAATTCATTTCTAGCCATCAGTTCAAGAGCTGATGCCTTTTTAAATAAATCTTCTGTTATCTTGTTTTTAATGGCTCAGCTGTCCAATGCAATTGAGTAGAGGTTTGCACTGAGATATTATGGTTTAGGCCTTACTCCATGAAGTATTACTATTAACATATGTTCAGACTACTTCCCTCCACCAGTGTGAACAAGTCCCTCCTGCCCCAAACAGTGTTAAAAGCCACTCTACAACACTTGACTGACTTCATATAATGTGCATTCACTGTTACATACATAATCCCAGTAAATCCAAGTTTTGGGTGGAAGTGTTGAGAAGCATGAATTTTGTTTTGTTTTTGTTTTGCCTAGAACATTAATTTATCCAGAATGGCAGCTTTAACATATGGTCACAATCCATTTTCTAAATCAGATTTTATTCAAATGAATCCAAAGTATCCTAGCTCTTTGTCAAAGACTATAGAAATGTTTCGAACAAATAGTAATGTACTTTTTAAGTTGTTGTAATATTTGAGATACCATTTTCACCTTTTATAAAAGATGCATTTTGTTTGCAGGTTTGTGAAGTTCTTGAATACAGCACATGTATACATGTTAGGAAATCTTTTCTTCATCTTTCTTTTTAAAGTATGCCTAATGAAAGACATTCCACTATTATAATACATAATGCTCAGCTCCTCATAAAGGAATATTTAATTATATTTTGTGTTTATATAGGCATTTCACACAGTACTTAGTTATAAGTCATTGCACTATGAAATTTGTAGTAATATCATGAATCTAATTTGCTTAATATTTACTACATTTCATAACTCTTGAACTCCTGACAAATTGCATTGGGAAAAGAAGCCTTTGTCAATAGCTACTTAGTCTCTCTGACCTCCAGCAAAGCACTATCAATTTCATTTGGAATGGTTTTCTGTTCTATGATGTGTTTTCAGATAGAGTTCAGAATCTGCAACTCAGTTCAACATAAGTCTGTTGAGCTTTAAAATGTATTTGAAATAATATTTAAATAAGCATTTAAAATTATGAGTTGGATGTTTTTAAATTTATGCATAGTAATTTTGCACTGTAAAATAATTCCCTTCTCCCATTCCCTGTCTGCCATTCTGACTATGCTTATTAAAGTATTTTTTTAAACATATTTGCGTACTTAATGTTGTGTGAATGATTTTCATTACATTGATTCACTAGAATTACAGGTTTCAATTTTCTGTGATGCACATTGTTTACAGTACAAAATACATACAATCTGTTGCTCCTGCTCCTAGACATATTCCACGAATAGTGTTTCAGTGGCTCCAGTCTCTTCTACCTCATCTTGGATGATGTATTTTTGTCCTTTTTTTCCCCTTCAGAGATATCCTTTGGGCTATGGACTGCTAGTCACCTGCTTCTCTTCTGAACTATATAATTAAAAATCCTTGTTTCCTTCTTTTGCAGAGCAGATGTCATCGAAAAATATAATATCACGTAATATTTTGCAAAAACTTTTGTCACCATATTTGCTCTGCTCTTAATGGAAAATTAAGAGTGGGCACTTTGAGTCTTAGCCAGTTGCTCAGTGGGTAGAGCGTCAACCTGTGGACTTAAGGGTCCCAGGTTCAATTCCAGTCAAGGGCACATGCTTGGGTTGCAGGCTGGATCCCCAGTAGTGGGTGTGCAGAAGGCAGCCAATCAGTGATTCTCTCTCATTGATGTTTCCATCTCTCCCTCTCCCTTCCTCTCTGAAATCAATAAAAAATATATATTTAAAAAAAAAAGTGGGCACTTTGAATGAGTGTGTGTGAATTTCCATAGGCAAGATGTATGCTGATGACCCTGGCCTGTGTAACAGGCTCTGTATCACTATTAAATGCCAAATCAAAAGTGAAGGTTATCCCAACTATAATCTACACTCATGAAAAATGCCACTGAGGAAAATCATATAACATTACGGGAAGGAAAAGAATTTCCAAATTTTAGCCTGTTATTTTGTCTCCCTAAAAATGATGTTTCTGTATCACATAATTCTGATTAAAGTTTTTGTAAAAAAAAAAAAACCAACACTGCTCTTTAATAATCAATTTTATCCTTTCCAAATCTTAAAGGGTCATCCCTTCAAGTTGTAGGCTGATTTTGTGTATTATTTGGATTAGTCTCTTTAACTTACACCAATGTTCTGTTACCTCATGTATTATGTACACACAGTATTGTGCTGGTGTTTTTTTGACATCTGTATGTACATGGAGATTTTCCTTTTCTGAACTAGGATACCGTAGCTCCTATGACTTATTGAGCACGTATATTATACTTAAAGTGTCATTTTGCTTTCTTTGAGTAAGTGTAACTCTAATCCTCTTGTCCAAATTGATGCTAAAGGCAAGAAGGCATGAGCAGGTAAGTACTATGGTAGAAGTGAAGGCCGAGTACAGAGGGCAAATGGAAAGGAAAAGGAAGCACGGGGAGTCCACTAGAACAGTGGTCACCAACCTTTCAGACCTCACGGACCACCAGTGGTCTGCAGACTATATCATTCTAGCTAAGTTAGGTTTTCCTCCAACTTAACATTTATGTTAGAATCTAAGCCAACATGAAATAAATGTACGATTCCACCCAAGAAAGGCCATTTATTTTTAATATATACTGCAGGGTTGATTATACATTATTACTTAGGCCTTGCCCCTTCTCTTATCATTCACTGTCCGGTGGGGAGTCTCCTGATTCCCTAAAATTTGGAAGAGGTGATGCTGACCTTGCTTGCTTTTTTTTTTTTTTCTTAAGCTCTGGCTCCAGGAATTTTGAAGTCTTTTTTTCCTCAAAAGATCTCTGGTTAAAGTATGAAAACAGCATCTCCTATTGCTTTTGTGTAACTCTATGTACAACATTCCACCTTTCCTTAGATCTGTTGATTTGGGGAAAGGAGAAGAAACACTTAATATGGATGTCACTCATGATACTGCTGGCTTGAGTCACCCTCTGGGCTCCACAGAGGGCCCAAGTCAACTTTTGTGGCTTGGTACCAGCAGTAGTACAGTCTTCTATTTCCTTCTGTAGTTGAATTTGAGTAGATTAAGTTTGCTGTTGAAAAGTCAGCTCATCTGTAGCAGTGGTTCTCAACCTTCCTAATGCTGCAACCCTTTAATACAGTTCCTCATGTTGTGGTGACCCCCAACCATAAAATTATTTTCGTTGCTACTTCATAACTGTAATTTTGCTACTGTTATGAATCGTAATGTAAATATCTGATATGCAGGATATATTTTCATTGTTACAAATTGAACATAATTAAAGCATAGTGATTAATCACAAAAACAATATGTAATTATATATGTGTTTTCCGATGGTCTTAGGCGAAGCCTGTGAAGGGGTCGCGACCCACAGGTTGGCGACCCACAGGTTGAGAACCGCTGATCTGTAGTTATAAACTTTAGAAGTGTTTCTGAACCAGTGTCATCCTATCTAATAAAGAGGGAATATGCTAATTGGCCCTCACGCTGTTGCAAGATGGCACCCACAGCCAGTAAGGAGGGAACATGCTAGTTGACTGTCGCGCCCACAGCCAATAAGGGGAGAATATGCTAATTGACTGTCCTGCCCTCAAAGATGGTGCCCACAGCCAATGAGGAGGGAATATGCTAACTGACTGCCACACCCTCAAAGATGGTGGTGCCTAGTCCCCTCAGCCCCCCAGGGCTGGCCCGAGGCGCAGGCAAGCCTTGGATGTCAGCTGCCCAGCCACCCAGGGCCAGCCAAAGGGACGACCAAATGACTGAACAAGCAGACTGCGTGGGGTGACCAGGCCAGCAGGGGGGTTAGTGAGGGACGACCAAAAAACTGAACAAGCAGGCTCAGTGAGGGA